AGTTATAAACTCCTGCAAGACCATTTCAGGCTGGACATTCTTTACTGTCCAAGCCCCCAAGGTCTGGAATGGTCTGCCGCTGGAGGTGGTTCAAGCACCTACTTTGAACACCTTCAAGGGAAACCTGGATGTTTTTCTTGCTGGCATCCTATGACCCCAGCTGATTTCCTGCCCCTGGGGCAAGGGGCTGGACTCAATGATTTTCCAAGGTCCCTTCCAGCCCTAATGTCTATGAAATCTATGATCTCCTTGGTACTCAATTACAGTAGAGGGTGCCAGCTAACCAGTTATCCCCTCACATTACACACAAATATGGAAAAATGACAAATATGTGCAAGAATACACATTACACACAAATATGGAAAAATTGCAGGTATCCTGTTTCTCTCCTACCTGCAAATTGAAGCAACATTTGGTGGACAAAGGTCCTCACTGCTCAAAAATTGCACTATCATGTGGTGAACAAAGGGGCTTATTACCTGTAATACAGTGAATTTCCATGTACACATGACAGATCAATGGATGTGTCATTTTAATCTGTGTTGATGCAAACTAAAATACATTGGGATGTGTTTGACTTTGAATTGCAAGAAGGGCATTTCAATTGCAACCCCTCCTCCCCCGTAAGTGTAAAGTGTAATGCAGTTAAATCACAAAAAAAGGGCAATTTTCGTCATGTGTACAAACGTCCAAAAACAGTAAGATAAGCTGGAAGTGGTGCCTCATTATTTCTATTCAGAAGGTCCAACCGCAAACTTCCATCATTTGCACTATGCAATTGTCATCAATATTTTGTATTTTAACTTTGTGTGAGTAGACCCAGCTCAGTTTGAGTTTCACAGTCATCAGGATCTTTGGGCTATTAACCCTCCACTCAAACTTTAAAGAACACTGGTTGGATTGGTGGTCTTTTTCTTTAATCATTATACCAGTCAAACCAATCTATTACTTTTAGTTTAATAAGCATATGGCCATAATCTTTATATGAACATTTAGTAAGCCATATATTATGGAATGTAAAAATTTACATTTTGTTTTAACATTGTAAAACTACATATTGTTCTCTGTCCTTATGTTTTAGTCACAACAAAAAATGTGGATTGAATGGGTATCAACATTTTTCCAGACTGAGCTCCTTAATGTGCAGTGGACTGTTTTATTGTGCATTAGCACACCATGGCAAAAACTGTGCTAATGCATGGTAGAATTAGTCTACTGCACACTGACCCTCACAAAAAGAAGTTCACCTTTGCTACTGTGCCTTTATCTGGTACCTCATATTAGAGGTACTAACCTTAATGTGCAGCAAAGGTGCATTAATGAACATATAGACATGCCCACTGTCACTTCTGGAGGTTGCTCTTCAAGGCTAGGTAGGAAATATATTGATGGAGGTATGATTGAGGAATAATGTACCACCATCTCATCTGAACTGTACATAAATGGAAAATGTTAGGCTCTATGGTATACTTTTTACTGGCACACTAAATTCATTCAAAAGTAACCAAATTCATTTGCAGATTTGTTTTGTAAATTTCATCTAAATATTCATATACTAGCTAAAACAACTTGTAACTTTGTTTATAAATGGCATAGGTAATGGAAGTGATCATTAAGATTACCCAGCAACTCATAGTATAAGACCTTATCTTCAGTTGCTTGTATTTTTGCCAGGTTCTCTGGAATGCAGTGATTGTGAAGGTATAATTAAATAAAATGAAAGATTTATAAAGCAAACACAAAGAGGGACACAATTAGCTTACCTGGCAACTGTACTTCAATTTAAACTTTTGAGCCTTTTGAGGAGGAAATTTTAATTTAATATTTTCTACCTTTTGAGTGCTTGATTTTACAACCTAAGCACTTTTTAATGGGGGGAGGGGTGTCTTTTTAAAAAAATCATTAATATAGTCTGTTCCCCTTCCCCATCTGTCTGTTAGTCAGAACCTTCTGCAATGCTGACTGCACCATCTGTAACACCCTCTCACTTCCTAATAAGTATCTTGATTCTTCTCTTATCCCATCTCCAGATTCATCTTCTCCTTCTGGCCTATGAGTCCCACTAAGTGCATTTGGTCTGTTATATTTTGACCAAGGTAAGAAATGTAGGGATTTGAAATAAAATTATGAAAGATTAATCTGTGTAGCAGATTTCCATTATGAACATTAAACAATATTTAAAAAGCCATTGTTTAACATATAGTAAAAAGGACAAATAATATTATGGGACTTTAATGAGAAAAAGGACTGAAACTTTTAGCTTAAGGCTGTAATATCCAGATGACAGTTAAATATATTTTTTCTTTTTTCTTTTGTGTTGTAATATTCTTTTATTCTAGTTATGTTGGTGGTTAGTATTTTTCCTGACTTCTTGCTCTCTCATTGCTTTTGGTGATTTTTTTTTTGGGGGGGGGGAGGTTGGCCAAAAATTAAATAAACAAGGAGGCCTCTTTCTCGTAAATTCTCAAATTGCCAATTATATGATTGCTGCATGCTTTGAGAAAAAGTATTTGAGGAAGGCAAACAAACACTAGGGCTCTACAGCTTTCTGAAGACCACAGACAATGTTCTTATATCTGCTGCTTTCCTTGAAACCACACAGCGATTAGTACACTCCCAACTGGAACTGAAATTTACTTCAAACCTTTCAGTTAATTGGTTCTTTAATCCATCATCTTTTGAAGATTGCATAGCACGGACAGAATTCTAATTCACCTAATAGACGACCAAACTTCTGACTAACTCTGAGGCTGCTGACAGATGTTCAGTTAAAGGAGTGATAGGATCTGATCCATGATTCCAACAATTGTACCTCCTGCCATAACTGCTCTTTGGTCCTCCACCTGGTGAAACAGAATTATGCCCTATATAGTCACTTATGGGAAATCTTTTGAAATAAAGCAGCAATGAAAGAAAAAATAAATTAAGCTTAAGTAAATACAAAATCTAGAAAGCAACACAAAATAAAATAAAAACCACAAACAAAACAGAACAAACAAAAAAAGTCTCCCCTGCTGATAAACTATTTGCATTACTCCAAGAATTACAGAATGAAACTAAATGATTTTACTGCATTCTTTCATCGTTATGCCACAGTACCAATTATGCTCCTGGTGTTCTTGAGTCTATAATGCTATTTCCTACCATTGAGTTCCAATTTCTTTATTAACCTAAACTAAACTCTTTAAATGCATTTGTTATACCTGTATCAAGAAACCTCGTTGTGAAGGTAGAAATGGCACAGGCTTGGCTGAAATTGTTGAATATTGTGATTGATTTTTTTTTGGCAGGGTGGACTTCTAGAGAGAGTGAATTTGAAATCCTCGCATTCTTGAAATGAGGACCAGCACAGTCTGAATCCTAAGTAATACAAAGTATGACGAAAGAATCTCTTCACACTGTTATAACAGTTTGGTTTTGTGTAATTCCTTTTATACACCAGGCATTCAACATACAGGTAAAAGATATTGTAGTGGTTTACTGACACGGTAAGCAAACACAGAGCCATTCCAGGAGGAGATATGCCCCTCCCCTGAAGCAAGGGAATGAAATGGGTTGTAGGGGTGAGGAAAAAAAGAAAGTTGGCCATCGTGTACAGGGCCCCATTTCCAGAGGTACTGAGTACCTGCATTTCCCATTGACTTCAGTCAGAATGCAACAGTTGGGTTCTGAAGTTATTTCCAGCTCTTTTAAAAGGGGCCAAAGATCATAGAATTATAGAGAAATAAGTTGGAAGGGACCTTTGAAGGTAATCTAGTCTAACCCCCCCTGCCTGATTCAAGATCATTCCTATCCAACACATTCCTTACAAATCCTTGTCTAACTGATTATTAAAACTTAGATAGTCAACCCTCTCAGACAGCCTAACCTGGAACTGTAAAGTGGTAGTCACCATCCTGTTTCTTCAAGAGTGTCAAAACAGGTTTGAGAGATTGAAGGAAGAGGACCTCTGGGGGAGAGGGGCTGAATTTGGTCCTAAAGGTCTGGATTAAAGTCTAAAATATTTCAAGAAAATTCAAAGATAAGGTGATTTGTAATGAATGTTCATATGCCCAAACAAGGCCTCCAAACACTGGGTATCTTGGGAGCAGTACTATTCTCTGGCAGCCTAGAAATGTACTACTTTAGTGGGGGGCAACTTTCATTGCAGGCATGCTAGAAATTAATCTCTGCACCCTCCGGGTGCCACGCCAGTCCTGTTCCCTAGTCTGCTGCTCTGCTTTGTGTGCCTTGCCTTGTGTTCCCTGCCTGATCTGTTGCTCTATTTCTGCTTCCTGCCCTATGCTCCCTTCCCAATCTGCAGCTTTGCTTTCTACTCCTGGCCCTCTAGGCACTTTTACATGTGGTCCAGATGTGGGGGGGTGAAGGAGTGAAGGGGGTGCTCCAAGAGCCACTCTAAAGTGCTGCTGCATCTCATATATCAGCATCTGCATGCTTAAAAATGGCAGTGAGGGTGCTTGAGCTAAAGCTCAGTTGACAAGCTTTAATTCAAGTGCCCCTGCCACCATTTTTAAGTGCGGGGATGCTGATACACAAGATGCGGAAAATGTCATGTTCCAGCAGATTCAATTAATTCCAGCTCACCAGAGCAGCTTCATGCATGTATAGCACCCTGTATGTCCTGTGCTGCTTGCCCCCCACCACGATCTGCCATGTGCCACACCCGGAGGCTCCCCGGGCCACCTTTGGCATGCCTGCTGCACCCCTATTCTAGCATCATAGATTCTAACACATTCCTCAAGGACTTACCCCTTCAGGCTTAGTTGGGGATAATAATTTTAACCTTATTTTGCATTTTTTTCCCTGTTTGCAGGCCAAATTTTGTACTTATTTCAGAGATTGCAAGGTCAGCTCCTGTGCCATTCAATAAGATCTACACCCAAATCACTGGGATCAGATTTTGACCCTGTGGGTTTCAATTAGGCCATTTGGCATTTTTCAGAGCTGTGTTAGTATCTCTATAATTTGAGAGCAGATATTTGTGGGTTCTTTTTAACAAAAGAAAAAAGAAAATAAGATGATAGTAGAAGGTGTGTTATTAAAAAAATTACAAATTTCCACACTAAAATGCAAAGCTCATAGTACCAGTTGTAACTAAGCGGAGGCTGAGCAGGTGCTGTATAACCTTCTTTTATTGCTCTCTCTTCCATTCTAAATGGATACCCTGCTGTTCAAGCATTCAACCTCCCCTGAGTGGAGGCTGCTAAGTAAGACAAATTATTGCAGTGGTTTTGTGATGCAAGGAAACATTGTGTGAAGACTGCTTTTAGATCACTAGAATAAAATTTCATGTTTGAATCTAAAGACAGCCTGTGACTGACTCCTTTTACTATCAATAATTATTGGAAAAGGGGCTTTATAACATAAGAAAGCCTGTCACTTAATTGCTTATTTTCTGACATATTGCTCTGGATTGGTAATGGTAATAAAACCATTTAGATAAAAATGGTGAAGCTTTAACCTGCTAATGTGATTATTCATTTCTATGTCTTTCATTATAATATCAGGAGTCATGATGAACTCTTAGTAGATAATCAAGTATAAATGTTAATAAACCATACATACTTTTGTAGGATTTATGTTATCGTTTAATACTAATTCAGAGAAATAAGCACAAAGCGCAATTCTTGCCTCTTTACTCACATTGTATTTTTAGTTTCTCTTCCTGCTGCTAAAAAGGAATGATCAAATTAGATATTTTAATGAGCATTCATTGGTTGCATATATATTCCATTCATTTGTGAAATCAAACACAGACACTCAAATAATGGGGCCTAGTCTCCTCTTGCTGCATAATAACTTTGAGGAAGATCCACCTCCCTGTAAGGGGAAGAATGGATAGCTGAGAACGCTCAGAGGAATAAAAGGGTTTAAAGCACACCACATAAAAGGCTGGGTAGCGGATTCTTTGAAAATGAATGCAGTCTTCAACAAAAGATGTGAGAGAAAAGGCTACAGAGAGAGCGCAGGACTTTGTGTAGAGATGGGCAGTGAATACAGAAGAGGTTGCTGAGGCAGTACATAATACCATGATCTAAGGCAGAGCATGCTGTAGGTACAGAGCTGCAGGCAGACAGAAAAGCTTTTTCATGAGGGGCACAAGATGTGTAAAAGCTGACTGTGGCTAAAGAAGGAATGAAGAGATGTGGAAGAGGAGCAGATTTTGGAGAATAACACCAATTAACTGGAAACAAAATCATTATGTTGCCGCTGATGAGAAAAGAGCATTCCTCAAATAAACAAACAGGAAAACACGTAGACAAAGGAAACAAATGCCAAAGGAAAATAAGAGACTTGTTTTAATTTCAGCATAATTTCTTTTAATTAAAATGAAAGGCATCCACATTCTCAACAATACATATTAAAACAAAAATCATAATACCGCCTCGCACTTGCACTTCCTCCTTCTAGAATTTTTATGTATCTAGCAGAATACAATGGGAAGAGTCTAATAAAACAGAATTGGACTAGCGTGGAGTGATTTAAAATGGGAATCTACATCTTCCACAGAAAGAAGCCCAAATCAAAGAAGTTAGTAATCAGACAGCTGGGTAGTTTTACCCTCTTAATTTAACATCAGCTGAGAAGGGATCAAGGGGCAAATAAAACAAGATTAAACAACAGTTTTATATTTAGCAAGTTGTTCTGTTTCTGTTACCAGTAAGCTCTTGATAGCACAGGGATTAAACATGAATTTAAAAAAAGAATATGAGACTCCAGAAAAACAGTAGAATGCTAATACCATTGCCAAAATTATAATTTGACCCAGTATTATTAAGTCAAATACTTTAAGTACTTAATATTTATTTTTAAAATTTGTGTCAGGGATAAAAGCCTTAAAGAGAAATGCTAAAACACAACTAATATTGAACAGATTTCCAATAACTTTTATTTATCTACCCCCCAAATATCTCAATACTGTGGTATTTATACTAATTTTGAACTATCTGGAATAACCCACTATCTGTGACAGAGTACTGGACAAGATGGAACTGAGTCTAATCCAGTATAGCTGTTCCTTTGTTCACAGGGGCAACCTGCGGGCATATTAATGGAGAAGATCCAGTGCTTCAGTATGACTTCTGAATCAATGCTTGTTATGGTAACGTTCCAGGTGATATTTAAAGTTGTGCTGAATATAGCGGGATTCCAAAAAATAACTGAATGTCAATATTTGTCTGATTTCTAGGATTTGGGTCTTCATTAAAAAGGTATATTTTGTTAAATGTTTAGAGCTGGCTCATATCAAAGAGAACATAGGTTTTACACTAAAACCAAATAAAAACTTTAAATATAACTTGTGAACTTCCTATGGCCATATGACATGTTGGGTGCATCTACACTTTGAAATTAATGTGACACAATAAATTCCACTGCATATTGTGCCAGAGTTTATTGCTCCTGGTTGCCGCATTTACATGTGTGCCTGGGATTGCAGCATGTTGAGCTGGGTCAGAGCTGCCCTAGTTGGCAGGTGGCCTGCAGGGTCAGCCTGCTAACCCAGGGCTGCTCTGAGCTGGCTTAATGTGCTGCAAAGGTGCTGGCTGGGGCACATGGGTGCTTCAGTGCTGGGCTAGCCCTCACTGAAGCACCCTTGTGCCCCACCCAGTCCTGTCAGTGTCTACATATGCATTGCTGTGCACTAAAGTATGCTGCCATAGTATAGTACTTGTGTTTGCAAGTACTAATGTCTGGTGGAGTTAATTAGTTTACCGCAGCCTAATGGCACCACACGTGTAGACTCTGAGACTTTACAGTGGAACTAATTAGGCAGCTCTTCAGCAAATGTCTCATGTAGATGCACCTGTTGTGTTCTAAAGATGTATTAACTAAGACCCCATCTCACACCATAACCAGGGCATTTTTCAGGTATTGTGTCACTTTTCTGTGAGTGACACTATTTAAAGGCTTATATTAGGAAAATAAAACTTGATTATCTTTGATTACTCTTGTTTTCTCTTTTGTACAAATGACAAAATGTAGAAAATTATAAGTTACAAGTGAAGTCTGTGCAGTGGAAAACCCTGTGATTACTCAGAGAACTGCTCTCACATTTAGGCCATATACAGACATTCAGTGGGCACGTCTACATGAGACACTAAATGCACAGTAGACTAATTCTACTGTGCATTAGTGTATCATGACAAAAACTGTAGAATTAGTCTACTGTGTGCTAAAAAGATGTGCGCCAACACTACTGTGCAGTAGCATCAGTTACTGTTCATTGAGTTAGTACCTGTTATTATAATGCACATGTAGACATGCCCAGTTTCTACTAGGAGAGTTGCTGTTGACACAGACCCTGAGCAGTCTGGATCAGCCAATCAGGTCTGCCCTATGCATTGCTGCCATCTGTCTCTAGGCAGACTGAGCGAGCCTGCAGAGCAGCCCAGATGGTATACATAGGGGGCCTCCTGGCTGTACAGCACCAGTATTGCACTCTATCTGCTTCTAAGGGGGTCAGTGCTCAAATGTCAGTTCAGAGGTCTCTATGAGGTTTTTCTATGAAGAAAATAAACCTGGCAGAATTCTCCCAAGTCATGTGAACATGTGTATGCAGCCTGAGTTATCTGCTGCTTTGCAAATGCTTTGCAACAAAATAAGACTGTGTGCCACCAGACAGGAAAAAGTGATCTGTAAGATCTTCAGCTTTCAACAGCAGAGGAGGTTTCTCCAAGTTCTAGTTTCC